AAGTAGACACAGGTAAATTGGCAAATTGGACTGTTGTTCACGGAATTTAATTGCTGTGGAATTTGGCAGAGAGACAAAAGTTGAAGCACGTAATTCGTACATCATGTACCAATGTAGCACGGCATATTATACTCTCAATACATAACATTAACAACCCTCAATTTGTAGTTGCATTCCATACTTCATCTTCTACGATATTTCTATGATATTACGATAATTCTATGATCCTACAGTTGTTATTTTGTTAATCTTTAAAGGATTCCCAATTGTTAATATTCGTCAACAACACAGACAGAACTACGCTGTACAGGTAAATAATTCTGACCCAATCCTCAATGGCTCCTGAAAAATATCCCGCAGACGCAGACGACTTTACCGCGACGACGCAGAGATCACCAGCATACAACACAATTCCTGACACGCCCAGATGCGTTATTCATGTCATTCTGATATTACAGAGAAACTATGTTGACTATTTAAATATAATCCTATAATAATAACTGCATACCACAGCTATACAAGAAGTCATCTGACCGTGCTATTTATGATAACCATCTTTAGAACATGTTTTCTTTATTAACGAATTATATTCCGAATTATCGGGCGTCTTCAATCTCGTGTAGCTCAATATAATAGTAGAGCTATAAAAGTTGAGGCACCGTTCAATTGTGTTATTGTTAAAGTAAGAGAGGCCTCCTTAAAATGAAGGAGATGGAACGAGCCACGAGGAGGCGATCATTTGTTCGATGTTCTTGTATGTTGAGGTATAATGATTAATGATGCGGAATAAACGGGGAATGGGACCGTTTGATACGCTCTTTAGCCACAGTCCATATTATATACTAGTCATTTATTTACATGGTCTACAATCTAAAATATAATATAATTATATACAGTAGTCAATATTATATTATAATGATAATACTATTCTTCTCATAAATTACTTGTGTATAACAGTATTAAGAGAAGTAACTTATCTTTTTAAAACGAGCTACAATCTCTATTGTCCAAATAAAACAGGCGCCCTACAATCTGTTTAAATTATTTAATTCGTGTCAACAACAATAGTTTTAAAATCAAAGTGACGGAAAGTGTTGAGGTTTGTCTGCTTGTCTAGTTGTCTATGTCCGGTGTTGAGACCTGGTTTCAATGTTTTAGGAATTAGTTATGGACAATTCCCACATCAAAGTTGTGTAATGAACTTTATCAGATGCGACTTTAGAACAATGCGTTGTTTAAAACAAAATAAACTTTGAGTTTGCTATACATGGTTGAAGTGAAATCTTGTTTTATTTCTCAATAAAGGGGAATTTGGGAATCTAGCTAGGCAAAGTCGGGGTACAGTCAGCGCACAGTTGGGGCACAGTTGAGTCTGTGCCCCAAGGTACCCCAGGTCACCTTTTTGCCTAGTTAGATTACCAAGTGGCTGAATAAAGTTCCATTTCTGATTCCTGACTTCAGTAAAAGTGTACCGTGACACCGTCCCAGCAAGAAGTCTGAACATGCAGTTTGAACATGCAGTCTGAACATGCAGTCTGAACGTGCAGTCTGAACATGCAGTCTGAACATGCAGTCTGAACATGCAGTCTGAAAATGCAGTCTGAACATTAAATCTGAACATGCAGTCTGAACATGCAGTCTGAACATGCAGTCTGAACATGCAGTCTGAACATGCAGTATGAACATGCAGTCTGAACATGCAGTCTGAACATGCAGTCTGAACATGCAGTCTGAACATGCAGTCTGAACATGCAGTCTGAACATGCAGTATCTCAGTTAGACGGGATGATGTTATTAGCTGCATTATACACACTCCCGGAAGTGTGTACAACTATTATATTGTAATGTTTACTAATATAACAAACCTCATTAATACGCCCTGACGAGTACACTTTTACACATTATTACTACATTTTTAAATATTGTACACGCTTTTGCAATGTATACACGTGTATTCTGTGTAAGCTTATTACTGGTATCCTAGCAACTATATAATAACTTTTCAACAAATAGCATGTGTTGGCAGATACACAGCTGTTCCTTTTAACTGAGATGTAACAAGATTCTTACTTTTCTTTTAGATATACAAGACTGATAACGATACAATCTGTTTCCTGAAATGTTAAAACTTACTGTTTAGAAAACAACCCACATTTTCTCTTCTCAACATCCGTATTGCACTCTAGATCAGTGCACTGGTGGAAATGAACTTGTATCTATTATATAATCAGTGGATATTATGTGGATTGTCGTTCTCAGAGCTATGGAAAGGGCTGGATAGCTAGCAAAGCGTTAAGACTGATGTTAAGATGTCAGAGCTAAGGTATCTGGCATAGTTCCAACAATCCCAAGAATTCAAAACACACTGTGGTCTGCAGTGTGTGGTATGAAGGTGTACTGCACACATCTTATTGTGTATAATACCGGATGTACGCGAGCCGTTAAGTCTAGTATTCAATATGTATAAGTCACGTGACCATTATAAGAGAGGTCTCTGAGACATATAATGGTATCTGCAGTATGTTCTGACTAGTCATGTGACCCTGGATTGTAACGAACACAATGGTAGAGATAGCACACAATGCTGCGTACTCCTCGCTGCACTACAAGATATTGTAGCTAGCTATTGAAGTTAAATAATACAGACTGATTGGTTAGCAGTTCTACGGAAGAGGGGGCTTCTGAAAGAGTTAAAGGTGATTGGTAATACTGCCAGCTGATTGGTTACTTAAAGGTTGTAATACTGCCAGCTGATTGGTTACTTAAAGGTTGTAATACTGCCAGCTGATTGGTTACTTAAAGGTTGTAATACTGCCAGCTGATTGGTTACTTAAAGGTTGTAATACTGCCAGCTGATTGGTTACTTAAAGGTTGTAATACTGCCAGCTGATTGGTTACTTAAAGGTTGTAATACTGCCAGCTGATTGGTTACTTAAAGGTTGTAATACTGCCAGCTGATTGGTTACTTAAAGGTTGTAATACTGCCAGCTGATTGGTTACTTAAAGGTTGTAATACTGCCAGCTGATTGGTTACTTAAAGGTTGTAATACTGTCAGCTGATTGGTTACTTAAAGGTTGTAATACTGCCAGCTGATTGGTTACTTAAAGGTTGTAATACTGCCAGCTGATTGGTTACTTAAAGGTTGTAATACTGCCAGCTGATTGGTTACTTAAAGGTTGTAATACTGCCAGCTGATTGGTTACTTAAAGGTTGTAATACTGCCAGCTGATTGGTTACTTAAAGGTTGTAATACTGCCAGCTGATTGGTTACTTAAAGGTTGTAATACTGCCAGCTGATTGGTGATAAACAATGTAGTGTTTTCTCTGAGAAGGGCACCCACTTGAACCCCCAGAGCAGACCAGGTGTGTAGGAGCAGTAGACATAGTTATGTATTGTAGTCTGTCCAGTCTGCCGGGTTGAGGAGGTATGTAGAATATAATAAGAGAAAGAGCCGGTGTTAGTCCCAGTTTAGGTCTGATTGTCTGATTGTCCCAGGGATTACCAGGTACTATGTAATAGGGAACTATGTACTAGAATACGGGACTAGAGATGATCAGTATTTACTGGTAGTAGTTAGACTATCCTGCATTCCCCGTTATTATGGAGACTAGAATAGGAACTGGTTCCCAATGTCATGGTTTATACATGCTAACTAATACCAACACTGTTTACAGTCAGCCTCACAGAATGCTAACAATGTTGCTGTTAACCAGCCACACCTCCCCAATCTCACCTTAACATCAGAGTTGGGACTATGTTATTGTATTGAAATATGTTATTGTACTGTGTTTATCATATTTTTATTGTTCCATTTGTGTATATTACATTGGACAAACAGAGCTGACTTTAACCAGAGACATGAGCTAATAAACGAGTACAGAGCTACATAACATTTACAGCACATGAGACAGTATAACACGTGAGACACTGAGGCAGGATACCACGTGAGCTTGAGACAGGATAGTATCAAGCATGCATAAAATATGATAGAATGCATAAAATATCACGAGATCATATCCCGGATTTGTCTAGGAAATATTTACTGGTTGTTTTGTTCCCCAGAAAAGTGCTGAACAGAGAAGCAGGATCACTGTTCTGGGAAACAAAACAGCAACTAATCATTATTTCCTAAATCTAAACAAATCCGGGATATGGATGTGTAAATATTTGGAGTGGTTGACATATTGTTTTAAATAGATTCAAGAAATATTACACGTCTTGATGTTTACACAGTTTTAGTTATTCCACAACTAAAGGTCCCAGTTCCCACTGGTACAGGAGGGGGAATATAGAGTTTCATTGTTATGTTGTAAGATACCATTGTAGAATAACACTTTCACAGTTACAGATTTAATTATGGATATATTATGCGCAGTACGTACACATAAAACTGCACTTATAAATATGCAGTGGCACGTGAGCAAGTCGCTGCATAACATTGTTATATTGATCCATGTTATGCATTTAAAATACCAACCCTTCCTGCTCCGTGACATTCGACATATTTATACTTTATTCAAGCCATATTATGTCACATTATTACCTGACTAGCTTTAAACAGTGAAGCTCATCAAAATATAATGCTGGTTGAATTATACGTGTAAAGTTATATCCGTGATATGGTGTAAATATTTATATAAATATTTGTGTAGCCGTGTAGATGATACAGCTGGGTTGTTCGGACCACTTTGAAGAGAATGTGTAGACACTGGAAAACAATGATACTCGCATATTTGACGAAATGAAATTTAAAATAAAATAGCATCGCATAGTACTTTACACCAAAATTTCTACATATTCATTATAAAGGAATGCGGTTTATATTGATGATCTGATAACTAAACTTATTCTCTACAGATTAGAAAACACCGCTATAAAATAGCCGTGTGCCTTTAAAATAATTTTAATCACGATTAAGTAAATGATCATAATTATGCTAATTATAATTATGTTAATCATAATTATGCTACTAATCGTAACTTCCCAGCTTGAAAAAAATTGATTTTCTGTGCTCCGAGGATGTCTGTCAGTACGCTTTACAGTCAAACCAAGAATAACCGGGAATTTTTACCATCATCAACTAAATAAGCTCAATTCAATATGAACCCCTAGCCTTTTCACTAGGAATTCGCCGACTTACCGGAATTCTCCGAAATGACGGGAATTTCCGAATAACCGGGAAAATGTACACATGTCTGTCTTCGCCTAAGATTCCCTGCATATTTGGAGGTTTGACTGTATTCTGAAACCCTTGCAACACAACATGCAAACTAAAAAAAAAAACCGGCGTTCTTTAATTTAAATATTATATTATTAATCAAAATTATATTATTAATTTGATCAACAAGCTTTACAGATACACGTATCAAATGCAGCAGAGATTTTCGAAAAGGAAATGCTGGCCAGATATCCCTTCTTAACTAATACACTAATTATACTAGGCGATTGAATTTCTCTTGGACCTTAAAACCGGAGACAGGACCCGTAACAAATTCTAATATAACATTAAATTAGTAAAATAACCAGCTCACCCCAGCTAAGGGAGTGTTAGGTGGTTTTTGTAACCATAGTAGGGGACTATAGCCGGCCATAACTTTCATATTGAATACGCTAATTATGGGTAAATGGCCAAAATTTTAACACAAAATAATTGTGGTATTATGATGCAGCAATAAATAAATATTCACTTCATCAATATGAATTGCAAGATACAAATTTTAAAGTGTTTAAAAAGCTTGGACAATGGACATATTAAGTTGATAGTAATATAATAAAATTGCCATCTAGAATTAAGTTACATTCATGGCCTGATAATACCGAAATAACTGTTGAGCCGTTTATAATAACATGGCAAAACTTAGTGTTGGAAGCATAGCTATAAGCTATAAGCTATAACCCCCGGCTATAACCCCCGGTAACAGTAAAATATAGGATTATTCCCTTGCCTTCAATATAACAAACATCTGAAAATGTAATATAACAATAATAACAATACCCCCTTATTTAAGTCAAACTTCCGAGTAATTTTCTTTATACACCATTTAAATCTAAAACAATTAAACAACAGAATATCTGAAACTTGAATACCGATATATCACTCCGAACAATTGGCTAGCGGCCAATAATGGAGTATTGTTGATAATTATCATACAACCAAAATTTAAAACACTTTACACGGCTGCAGTTAAAACGACTGAGGACGGTTTTAAAATAACACTGTGCCATTTAATATTGCACAGGTCACATTTTATCTACACTATTTTACATCGCCAGCTTCAATGATTCAACCTTTTGTTCCGTAAGGAAAAGGGAATATTGTTACTGTAAGTCACTGCCGTTAAATAAGTTTTGTTTTTCAGAATACGTGACAGTATTTCTGCCAAATTTCTGACGAATTTTCTTGAATTTGTTCTCAGATTCATTAAAAACACGAAAACGGGCCTTTTTTTAAAGAAACACTGACGTACTACGAACTTAGTTAAAAGTTTAAAAGTCAAAACTAGCAAAGGACTTATTTCACGAACTTTACATTCATAAATTGAACAAAAATTATTGCATATTTTGAGGGGGACATTTTAACGTATTTAACAGCGATGATTAAAAAAGATCTGTGGCTCCCTCACGACGGAGTGATTAATTAATAAATAATTAATTTGAAAGGAAGTAATTTTAAAGGAGGGAACTGACGTTACACAGTGACCTGAGCCATGTCTGAATCTTTTTTAGAGTCCTGGTTCCCCCCACCTATAGAAGCAGCTCTTAGACCCCCCATGGGTAGGAAGTCATTCTTAGCTAGTCTCTTCTTACTCTTATACCAACACGAGTAGAATGAATCGTAAGGTTTCTTACTGTTAGTCTCGGAGCTGGTCAGGACGGAGAGAAGGACCCGGGGAAGGAAGGACAGGATGATGACCAGGACCAGGTTTAACCACGTGATGGAGTTATCAAAGCTCATCTTGAAGGTGTAGTGGGGGTCCTCGTTAAAGAACTGCCAGAGGAAGTCCAAGGTGCCGTAGCCGTAGAACCAGGACATCTCAATGATGAGCGTCATGATTATTGTGACGACAAGGAGGACGGTGATGTTGGGACACCGGACCAGGAAGTTGAGGTTCATGACAGTCAGGGAGATAAAGGTGAGACCTGCTCCGAACTCCAGCTTACTGATGGTACTGTCCCAGCAGGACATGGCGTGGATTGAGAAGACTATGATACCGTGGTATATAGCTTCCAGACACGCTGCAATCTGATTAGTGTGGTTAAACACTTCGTTAAGTCTGCCTGCTCGGTAACCCCTCGGGTCGTGGAGAATCTCCTCCTTGCTCCCTCCGTACTGATTGAGTAGAAAGGAGATAAAGGTGCCGGGTGTTGTCCAGAAGGTGTTGAACGTCACCACAAGGAACTCTTCTTGTGGGAAACTCCCGCTGAAGCCGTTGAAGAACTGATAGAAGAGAGATAGGGTAGCGTTAAACAGGTTCTTGTAGAAGAAGTAGAATATAAAGTCTGATATGCGGTGATAAGTCCACTGTCCGTGTACTAACACCAGTTTTTGAAGCATTCTGAACTGCTCGATAGCGAAGTCGGAGGCCATGACAGCTTGTGTTCCCTCGCGTCCTGCAATGCCAATTCCAATGTCAGCTTGTCGCAACATTCCGACATCGTTTGCGCCGTCGCCCACAGCCAGTGTCATCACCTGAAATGTAGATGTGTGAGCTGTTGCTTAATTATAGGAATTAACTTGACATTGTACGGGGGTTGTTCACTTGATCTCCACATCTACATAACATTAACTCCACATCTACATAACATTAACTACACATCCACATCTACATAACATTAACTATACATCCACATCTACATAACATTAACTATACATCCACATCTACATAACATTAACTATACATCCACATCTACATAACATTAACTATACATCCACATCTACATAACATTAACTATACATCCACATCTACATAACATTAACTATACATCCACATCTACATAACATTAACTGTACATCCACATCTACATAACATTAACTATACATCCACATCTACATAACATTAACTATACATCCACATCTACATAACATTAACTATACATCCACATCTACATAACATTAACTCCACATCCACATCTACATAACATTAACTCCACATCCACATCTACATAACATTAACTGTACATCATTCAGGATCTGGGAACAATCTAGGCCGTTCAATACAGGACAATACAATAGGATCAGTATTCTACCAGGGGCCGGGGGGGGGGGGGGGGGGGGGGGGGGCGGGGGTAAATATACTGGTTATATTTAATTCATTATACTATTATAGGGTAGTATACATTTGCAGAATTTGCTTTTCTACATTGGAAGACTGTAAGGGATGATATATGCAATATTCGTTACTCTACACTGCTCTAAATATCGCTGCAAACGAAACCTGATAACAAAGATTTTTGCCTAATCATGACTCAAAATAACTTACATTAATAGTTAGAGTTAAATCATTTTACAACAAAAACGGAGAGGATACATGGTAGTCGCTAGAGCATTCCGTGTCCTTGACACTCATCCGGGTAACGTTTATAATTATCAAAACCAACAATTACAATCACAATCACAATTACAATTACAGTTACAACCACAACCACAACCACAACCACAACCACAACCACAACCACAACCACAACCACAACCACAACCACAACCACAACCACAACCACAACCACAACCACAACCACAACCTACTCACCCCAAGTTCCTCTCTGATAAGGGACACGAGTGAAGCCTTCTGTAGCGGAGTAACTCGACAACAAATCACAGTCTGACAAGTCTGGCATAAAGCCAGGAAGTCCGTCCTCAACTCGTAACTCATGAGGTGCTCAATTGCACAGCCGTTAATTATCAGCGCCTGTTTGTGTACCTGAGGGATGTCTTGTTAGATGTGGTTATTTACTGAATATAAGTAAAGTAATAATCGTCGATCGTCATGATAATTTACCTATAAATTGCAGTGTATAATTTTACTTTATTTATTTATTTATAATTGATAATAATGTACTGATTCATGATTGGTCTGCTGAAAATATAGCTTAGCTATATCAAAGGTAGTCTGGAAGAATTGTTTCCTGGTTTTCAAGATTGGTCCAATATTGGTTAAAATATTCGTAACAGCTGGTTTTAGATTAAGCAGTAAGGTTAACTTATACCTTAACCAGAGTTAGAGTGAAACGTAGACCGCGACATGCACAGATCAAATTCAGATAACTTAAACTTACAATTACAAGTCAATATTTCCTCAGAAAGATAATGTAAGTTGGTACCGTAAGTTACAAGGATTACAGATATAATCTGCAGACTGGTTCCCAGTTGCTCACATCCCCCGGCGGTGACTTCAACTCTCGCAAATTAGTTTTAATCACAAACTCAGCTACACTGCAAATTCTCTCACCAATATTCAGACACTTTTGGGCGGTTTACTACACTTTGAGGTATGTGGGTTATGTCCAGCAGAATATTTCTAGTTATCTGACTGTAAATATTTAAAGGTGCTAATCAGTCCGCAATATTCTGGAGGGTCACATTTCTTAAGAGTTAGAGGACACGTTCATTTCCAAACGGTCAAAAGCGAAACCACATCAAATTTCTCTGAGATCATGGTTTACACTTTACAGGTTAATGATTCTTATTTAAGATAACATTTTCCGTTTTCAGCTGCATACGTATCCCTACACTGAGTACCTACAAGTTGGTTTGCAGTAAAACTAATGTTGCCACGTATTACTATTTACATGAGTAGTGAGCTCTACTCCAATTTATCGTGGAAACCCTCCTACAGCACTACTACTACCCGTAACCAGGAATCCCGGTCGAGCTCTGCCCGTAACGCTCCTGCCACAGCTACATTCCTCTAACATGAATACCACCTTGCTGTTTTACGTTATGCCTTGAGAAATGTTAAAAGTGTGCAGACGGACAGCATACAACTTTGTGCAGATAAGATTCATATCAGTTTGTTTACAAAATATGTGGATGTGCAGTTAGAATTGCTCTTGTACAGGCAACAAGGTTACCAGGTTCAGGTTTTTACTACCCTGCCATTCAAATTTCTACATAGTTTTTGTGAGAAAACTGAGCAGTTCTAGACGGTGAGGGAGTGGTGAAGATGTGTGGTGGAGTCTAAGTTCTGTGTAATAGTTTGTAAGTTTCAGAAGAATTGGTCCAGCTACTCGGGTGAAAGTAAGTAGTAACTCGGAAGAAGCATGCAGTCTACAGCGATGTCTACAATCACTAGTAGTAGCAGATTCAGGTTGTTTAGGTACAATAGTAAGATTGATGGTGGGGCTGAGGAATTTGTAGAATTCCTTTACCTGCCCTCAGACAATATCCGCAATGTTTAGGGTTTAACAGGATACTCAGTAAAGTTTTAAAATGTAACTCCCAAAACTCAAAAGTACTTGGATATTCGATGTACGGTAAGTTAAAGAACTCCTGATCCAACGAGTGCTGAAGGCAGGAGTTTTTTTTTTCAGGGGTTCTATAAATTCTTTATGGTACGGCACAAGACAACAGTCTTGAGAAAATTTTCCGACCTAAATTTTGAAATTTGGTGCATTTCAACCGTGTCAAAAAATTGCCAAACGACTGTAACTACTTCCGACACATACTGTACACAGTACACATATTGTACACAGTACACAGTGAGAGGGAGGGAAGGAAGGAGGGAGGGAAGGGGCAGTACATACTACACAAAGTGGGGAGGCACCACACAGTGGGCCCCACTGAGTGGGGGGGGGCGACACAGTGGGCCCCACTGAGTGGGGGGGCGACACAGTGGGCCCCACTGAGTGGGGGGAGGCACCACACAGTGGGGCCCATTGAGTGGGGGGAGGCACCACACAGTGGGCCCCACTGAGTGGGGAGAGGCACCACACAGTGAGCCCCACTGAGTGGGGGGAGGCACCACACAATGGGCCCCACTGAGTGGGGGGAGGCACCACACAGTGGGCCCCACTGAGTGGGGGGAGGCACTACACAGTGGGCCCCACTGAGTGGGGGGAGGCACTACACAGTGGGCCCCACTGAGTGGGGGGAGGCACTACACAGTGGGCCCCACTGAGTGGGGGGAGGCACCACACAGTGGGCCCCACTGAGTGGGGGGAGGCACTACACAGTGGGCCCCACTGAGTGGGGGGAGGCAGTACACAGCGCACTAACCTGGCCTGTAGGTGTGTGAGCCATGACCTCGTTCAGCTTCTGCCGTGTAGCCTCCTTTGTGGAGGTCTTGAACTTGTGGAGGAGAGTGTCTCGTGAGTACACTTGGGAACTGTAGCCGATACTGACCGCTGTTTCTTGCTTGTCTCCCGTCAGTACCCATACTACTATTCCTGAGATTTAGTGTGTAAGCTGTTCTGGGCAACAATTAGTGTGTTATTAGTGCGTTAGTTCTGGGTTTTTAGGTGTGTGACTATAATAAATAGTTCTGGGTAACATTTTTCCTTTTATTCTCCGGAAACCTAAGGTTCTAAGGTTCCAGTAGATGGGCCGGTCCTTATATCTAAAACATTGTACCAATCAGTACTTAGTAAGTTTTAATATGGTAACTCATGTTGTTTGTTTCCGTATTATGGATGCTATGGTAACCAAATACTAGCTAACTACGCCACATAGAAGGGTATGCTAATTGGCAAACTTCTGGGCCGAAACATGGCAGATATACTGACAATTTAAGTTATACGGTTATATAAGTGGGATAACTATTTTTATTTAATCGTATCAGCCTGAATCCATGGCCCCACTTTACTATCTATTTATAGAGGCAGAGCCACGAAGTTCACAGTAATCGAGTGACCGAGCCCGAGCGGCATTAGTTACAAAGAAATCTGCAGAATTGAATATTGTATACTTCCAAGGGGCACTCATACGCAAGTCACAGAAATAATTGCCTCGGTCACCGTTAGAGGACTCCAGGAATTAATTTAATCTTATTAAAATATGTAACTTATCGGAATATTTTATTAATATAATGTCACGATAAAATACCATTGATACTATTGCTAGATTTATAAATAATTCAAAATTAGATCAAGGCCCCGGTCGTTTAGCCGCCAATCAGAGGAGAGTCTAGAGCATAATATTATGTGTACAGAATTCAAACTATTTTGATCAGCTCCTCTGTTCGCATGAAAAATTCATTTTGCGGTTTCGAAGAAAAGGCCCCGATTGTAAATAGATGCCAAGTGCCAACTACCAAGAATTTAAATTCAATCTTGTGCAAAATCTCGAGTGCGAAAGGTATGATTTAGTTATTTTCGAGATGATCAAATCAATACTAGACCAACATAGAGCTCCCAGAAAGATCCACAATGTAAAGGAGTAAAAGTTAATTAAATGAGGTTATCGATGAGTGAGTAAAACAAACAAATAATACACAACAACGAAATTATAGACACCAATTCGGCGCTCTAAACAGAATAAAAACATGTTTAAAAACAAATTATTAATAACAATTTACAGAAGGGTGTATAATGTTGGTTTTTACATAAGTTAGATCACGATTCAATGGCTTGAATATAATATCTTTTTTGTGGCATGTTTTTATTGTCCAAGCATTTTACAAATAATAACATTTATTTATTAATTTATAAAAATATAATAAGACTCTGTTTACCTGCAGCTCTAAGAGAAGAGAGGACCTCTGGGACTCCTTCCTGAAGCTTGTCTTCAACACCAGTACCACCTGAAACAAAAAAATTAAAATTAGCAGATTTAAATATCCAGAAAAATTATCTGCTAGCTGTTATGATATTATAATAATGCAGTTCGAAATCATCAATATTTAAGCAATCAAATTCTACAATATTTATAACTAAACGTTTGTCCCCTAAGTTTTTTTCCACTACTTTTTAAATAGATATAGTTTGATTATCAGCGGTATCGCTCTCACACATTATCATTATTGAATTGAAGGTCTGGTTTACGTGGTGATGTGTTAGTTACTGGACCTTCCAGAACTTTTCAATAAAGTTACGTGTATAGTGTATGTAGACTATTATAGTGTAAAGTGTATATACACTAGTGAACGTATACGTATTACGCGACGTTCATTAGGTGAACGTGGGAGAGATCTCAGATCGAGGGTAAACGCCTAAATAGCATTTAAACTTGTTAGCTCATTGTTGGGAAAATAAAACTAAGGCTCTTAATCGAAGAAAGGGAGTCGCCTAATATAATATCTTATCCTTATTAGTAACTAATCATATCATAAATTCACTGTGTATAACTCCCTGTTAACTGTTTATCATCAGACAGTGATTTAGTCTTATATGAACCTATGCATGGTAAAGCACAGCAAGGCCGACCAAGACAAAGCTACTTGTCTATGTTACTGAAGGAAGTTGGGACAAACTCTAAAGAGGAACTGCGAACCCTGATGCGGGACAGGGATATATGGAGGGGGTTATCTGGCTTAGTTCCGACATAGTAGTAGTAGTTAACTGTTTGACTTGACAATCGCATTAGCAGATTAGAGTCACATTAATTACAAATAAGTGTGGCTAAACTTTAGAGTCACATATTTACATTATATCATAATATGCCGAATGATAGGAAACTTTATTGAGGGTTAAATGAGGAGGGGTACCTGCTAAAGCCTAAAAGATCAAGAATCTGTCTATGATACCCAAGAGTATTATACCCAACATTGACCGGCGAACTGATAGCTACTTCAGAAGCAATGAAACTACAATCTTCTAGATAAAATGAGTCTATGATACCCATTCAGTAAATCTACTTGTAGTCAACTGTAAACATAGTATTAGCTATTTTATCCTAATTTTAAGTCTCACGAGGGCTTGCCTTTTGTTTTAATTTGTGGGGGAAGAAATGTTGCGGGGGGGGGGGGGGGGGGGGGGGACAAGTACGTTCCGCCGACCGCCACTGAACGTGACACGTGACAATCGCACTTTCTCAGGAATCTTGATAGGGGCGGTGATCCAAGACGTGGTCAAAAGAAAATCCCGTGACTTAATATTACCCTCCCTGCGTCAGAGAATTCTTGTGAATTTGTGGACGAATTTGAAAAGAGTTGCCCTATATTCTGGAGGACATGTGTGTCTGAATCCCTGGTCATTAGTCATAGTCATTAGTAGTCATTAGTCATGATCTCAGGTGTGAACCTGGTCATTAGCTAACTACCGAAACATTTGTGAGAAACAATTATCTTCGGGACCAATACCACATGACAGTGGTACGTGGGAACACGTGAGTAGTTCATTATATTATTGGAATACAGGTGGGACTTGTGGGGCTGTTGCTTAGCAACGGATTTGTCGTTAGTATTTTGGAAAAGATTGGAGATAACTATGCAGAGTTTGCAGATTGCTACAAATGAATATTATATATGCCGCTTGTTTACAGCGATACCTTGTGTAATTGAAAAGTTTTAACAAATTCTGCTGTAATAATGACAGTATTACCACATTACGATATCAGTATCACACTGATTACACAGCTACAGGATTGTGTATGTTGGCAAGCTTCAATATACGCGTGTAATTAATTGTGGTTTAAGCTTTGAATGTTTACACAATCCAATCAAGTGATGACTATACAGTAAGTTTGTCAACTTGGTTTACATCTTAACACATTTTAAACAGCATGCTCAGATGGCAAAAACTCAAGATTTGTTGTGATCTATTATAGAATATCGTGAAACTTATTCAATTTAGATCTCGAAATGCTCATTTTAATATTATGAGTACATACACTCAGTGAACATAGCAGCATGCTATGAGACTGTCAATATTGCGTTGTACACGCAACATCCCAGCCTATGCTGCAGATTGTACATGAAGACTTGGTTCAGACACTTAATAAAATTATCGGTTAATGGTTTCGCTTACTAATTATCCGTTAGGCAATATTTTACTGGAACTATTACTGACGTCATAACCATAAGATTTGTGCTCTGTTTTTACAGAACATATTTCATCAGTTCTTGTGATCTGTATCGGGAGAATTTATAATTGGAAAACAATCTCCCGAAATTTGGCAGACTCAAAGTTCGAGCTACCACGAGTCCACGACAATGGAATATACTATACTTTCGCTGAATCTCAGCCTAAAGATGCCACGTTGAGATGGAATGCCATTGATTGGGAATTACCAGAATTATCAGTTCATGACTGATGACACAAACTATGTAAACGGGGATAAATCATTAATCCTGATATGCGAGGGAGATGTTTACTGAGATCTGTACTTACAAATATTCTCAACCTTGTGACCTTTTACGGACGAAGCTTGATTAAACCCGAACTAATATTACATGCATAATATGTTTATAATTTAAACAATGCCAGGACTATTCATGATTAATCTGGTACGTGATCACTAAAACCACAAGTGTGTTACATGACCCAAGAGTAGCTACAGCCGGATATCCTGTTGCCATTGTTGAGCATAACAACTGTTTTATCAACTTCTCAGGCTCTTTTTAACTTTTTTTAAACAAATCAATGAAGAACCGCATTGATAATGGGATGTTTAATTTTACAATGTAATACAAGATGATGAGTGATGACACACCATGATCAAATGACAGGTATCTCACGTTTCTTTTAACCACTCATTACATTTTAATAAGATTTAAATTGAACGTCACGATCTAGTCACGTAGAGCCATGTGGGAATAATTTGACCAAAATATTCACAGCGATTCTCAGGAATTCATTACGTAGGAAATAGCTGGCGTAGAGCCAACACATGCAATTCCTGCTGACGTTACAGTCTTGTGAGAGTTTTTAACTTACTTTTAACTCACAAAGTTAACATTGTTATGCATGATGGAGGTGATCAAGCGGTGATTTAAATTATGACAGACAAAAAGATTGAAAGATCCCATCTCGTGATTTTTGAGGAAATTGATAATTCAAAATTAATTGTAGTTAGGGCATCGTGAAAATTGTCTGGGAAAAAATTTGCCCCAAGGGTTTCTGTGCAGAAATGTCCTTAGTCCCAAAAACCACCCAAAGAGTGGCACACTGTCCAGGTCAGGTCTGTTCAGCTTAATAGTTATAGAATATTCTCTCTAGGTACCTTACTATCAGACTTCATAAACTCTGCCGCTATATAATAAACATCAGGATTCAGGAAGACACTGAAAGCTAGATCATAATACTGACCTTCAGATAAGTTATTAGCATATTTATATAAGAATTCTGGAGAAACAGATGCGTTCCAATTGCTTTCCGCATTGTGCTCAGATCTCTTTGAAAAGAGTTAATCCAATTAGCTCACGATTGTATGAGCACATCATGAAATTTCAAAACAAAGCAGCCGCTATAAACCACATACACACACACACACATGGCATCTGTTCAGTTAGTAGAACCCGTGATATAGCGTGTGGTAACTAGTGGTAACTGGTGGTAACCACCATAGGTGCAGATTTCGTTTTGAGGTGAACTTTTAAGTTCCCAAAAAATTTTGCGAAATAGGGTGTTTTAGGCTAAATTGAAAGTTTAATGAATTTACAAAAATGTATGGTTTGGCATAATAATTGCCTACAATCCTGACCTGAGTAATTTCCCCCTTTGAGACTTTATTTTGGGTTGAAAATTGAGTTTATCGAGAGGAAGTGAAAAATCTCTGGTTCAAATTTGGATTTGAAGCCATGTTTAATTTTTTCTGTTGAGGTCAATTTTTTGCGCAGAAAGCGCTCGATTTTTGGGGAAAAAATTTAAGTTTGCTTTTAATTTTTAAGGTCCTGTCGGCACCTGAAATCGACGAAATCTGCAGGGGTGGTAACCACTAACCACGCACCACTTGTTCAACCATAATTGAGAGGAGTTTTAAACGATTATCGATCACAATTATCTTGGGTTCTAGAACCGTATGGTAATATAAATCTACCAAATGTGCTAAAATATAAACCTTGCTTATTGTACATGTTAACTATTTAACGCCCAAGAAACTCCCAATATGGTTAACTCACCTATCAAAACGAGATTTCTCTCAATAGAACTGCATGCTTTGCTAACAGCTTCAGCCCAAGAAACTCCCAATATGGTTAACTCACCTATCAAAACGAGATTTCTCTCAATAGAACTGCATGCTTTGCTAACAGCTTCAGCCCAAGAAACTCCCAATATGGTTAACTCACCTATCAAAACGAGATTTCTCTCAATAGAACTGCATGCTTTGCTAACAGCTTCAGGTTAACTCACCTATCAAAACGAGATTTCTCTCAATAGAACTGCATGCTTTGCTAACAGCTTCAGCCCAAGAAACTCCCAATATGGTTAACTCACCTATCAAAACGAGATTTCTCTCAATAGAACTGCATGCTTTGCTAACAGCTTCAGCCCAAGAAACTCCCAATATGGTTAACTCACCTATCAAAACGAGATTTCTCTCAATAGAACTGCATGCTTTGCTAACAGCTTCAGCCCAAGAAACTCCCAATATGGTTAACTGACCTATCAAAACGAGGTTTCTCTCAATAGAACTGCATGCTTTGCTAACAGCTTCATATGGTTAACTCACCTATCAAAACGAGATTTCTCTCAATAGAACTGCATGCTTTGCTAACAGCTTCAGCCCAAGAAACTCCCAATATGGTTAACTGACCTATCAAAACGAGGTTTCTCTCAATAGAACTGCATGCTTTGCTAACAGCTTCATATGGTTAACTCACCTATCAAAACGAGGTTTCTCTCAATAGAACTGCATGCTTTGCTAACAGCTTCAGGTTAACTCACCTATCAAAACGAGATTTCTCTCAATAGAACTGCATGCTTTGCTAACAGCTTCAGCCCAAGAAACTCCCAATATGGTTAACTCACCTATCAAAACGAGATTTCTCTCAATAGAACTGCATGCTTTGCTAACAGCTTCAGCCCAAGAAACTCCCAATATGGTTAACTGACCTATCAAAACGAGGTTTCTCTCAATAGAACTGCATGCTTTGCTAACAGCTTCATATGGTTAACTCACCTATCAAAACGAGATTTCTCTCAATAGAACTGCATGCTTTGCTAACAGCTTCAGCCCAAGAAACTCCCAATATGGTTAACTGACCTATCAAAACGAGGTTTCTCTCAATAGAACTGCATGCTTTGCTAACAGCTTCATATGGTTAACTCACCTATCAAAAGGAGATTTCTCTCAATAGAACTGCATGCTTTGCTAACAGCTTCATATGGTTAACTCACCTATCAAAACGAGGTTTCTCTCAATAGAACTGCATGCTTTGCTAACAGCTTCAGCTCAAGAAACTCCCAATATGGTTAACTCACCTATCAAAACGAGGTTTCTCTCAATAGAACTGCATGCTTTGCTAACAGCTTCAGGTTAACTCACCTATCAAAACGAGATTTCTCTCAATAGAACTGCATGCTTTGCTAACAGCTTCAGGTTAACTCACCTATCAAAACGAGATTTCTCTCAATAGAACTGCATGCTTTGCTAACAGCTTCAGGTTAACTCACCTATCAAAACGAGATTTCTCTCAATAGAACTGCATGCTTTGCTAACAGCTTCATATGGTTAACTCACCTATCAAAACGAGATTTCTCTCAATAGAACTGCATGCTTTGCTAAACTCCCAATATGGTTAACTCACCTATCAAAACGAGATTTCTCTCAATAGAACTGCATGCTTTGCTAACAGCTTCAGGTTAACTCACCTATCAAAACGAGATTTCTCTCAATAGAACTGCATGCTTTGCTAACAGCTTCAGGTTAACTCACCTATCAAAACGAGATTTCTCTCAATAGAACTGCATGCTTTGCTAACAGCTTCATATGGTTAACTCACCTATCAAAACGAGATTTCTCTCAATAGAACTGCATGCTTTGCTAAACTCCCAATATGGTTAACTCACCTATCAAAACGAGATTTCTCTCAATAGAACTGCATGCTTTGCTAACAGCTTCAGGTTAACTCACCTATCAAAACGAGATTTCTCTCAATAGAACTGCATGCTTTGCTAACAGCTTCATATGGTTAACTCACCTATCAAAACGAGATTTCTCTCAATAGAACTGCATGCTTTGCTAACAGCTTCAGGTTAACTCACCTATCAAAACGAGATTTCTCTCAATAGAACTGCATGCTTTGCTAACAGCTTCAGCTCGACCTTCCATCTTAACAGACGCCTGAAACAAAAGAGAGTTTATTATTTTCTCTGGAACATTCCAAAGTGGAGAGCCAGGTGTTGCCTAATTGTAGCAGGTAGTTCTGTGATTGCCTAATTGTGGTTATGTGACCTGAGCTCTGAAACAGACCTCACGTGTCCCTAGTGACCAGGTGTACAAACATTGTAAGATTTTATTTGAATATGTATCAATCCTGAAACTGGTCTCCAGTTTCTTATGTTCCTGTAGGACCAACAATAAGACCGCCGTGTGTTCTGCACCTGTTACATTCATCATCGGCAACAAGGAACTTTGATCACTTTTATTACAGAACTATTACATTTATTAAACAGAGCTCTATCATTTTATCACAGTGTTACTTGTGGAGCTGAATTAACAGATAAGGAAAGCCTGCATGTAGAAAATATATAACATTTAATCACACTGGACAGAGAGGTGATTGCATGGCAATAAGAAGCAGTATATTATTGTAACAGTCCTTATCATCCAGTCCTCACTCCACAGTGGGCCTGGGAACTGTGTATCATAATTAATATTTCCACGGACAGGCTCTTTCAGCAAATATTGTAGGTAAACAGGTGCAATCCTATCACTTGTTTTTAGTGAGTAAAATCAACTGCAATAGGTAACAAGCAGTACATTGTGCGAGTGCATGAGTATGGGATAAACAAATAAATTCCAATATACTAGTCCTTGATATACTTGAATATTTCACAATACATACTAATCAAGATTTATCGTAACTTTCACGCGTGCGATTTGGATAATTTCAAATAACCTAATCAAGTAAAAGCATTAAAATAAAAGTTACTGTAAAGTAAAAGTAAAGTAGAACTAATCTTAATAGTGGTGTTATTAAACTTTATTAAACTCACATGTCTGTAGCGGAGAATGAACTGCTCATACTCTGCCTGCTCCAGTATCTTGAACGCAAATGCTAGTGTCCTCAGTCCCTTTTTAGCAAACGAGTTGATCTGGCAAGGAGATTAGTTACTATCTAGTAGATTAGTTCATGGTTCTTTTTATCTAGCATCCTTTTATTTTGTTATCATTTGTTTTTATGAACAACTAATTATTTTTGTTAACGTCTCTTAGCCATGATCTACTAGTATAGTGTGAAAGTTCAACAATAGACGTCCTATAACCTGGCTATTGTAGCTGCTATACACTGTACAGGTGTTTGTAACTGTGTTAATATATAGTTATAAGTGTAGTGTAAACGTCTTGTATAGATTGTTATCATATACTGATACTGTGAATCATCATCCACTGTAGCACCGTGTATAACAATAGATCACGTGTAATAATAGATTTGGAAAACTCTCACTTACTAACCACGTGACCTTACTTCTAACGCTACCTTACTAACCACGTGACCTTACTTCTAACTCTACCTTACTAACCACGTGACCTTACTTCTAATTCTACCTTACTAACCACGTGACTTTACTTCTAACTCTACCTTACTAACCACGTGACCTTACTTCTAACTCTACCTTACTAACCACGTGACTTTACTTCTAACTCTACCTTACTAACCACGTGACCTTACTTCTAACTCTACCTTACTAACCACGTGACCTTACTTCTAACTCTACCTTACTAACCATGTGACCTTACTTCAAACTCTACCTTACTAACCACGTGACCTTACTTCTAACTCTACCTTACTAACCACGTGACTTTACTTCTAACTCTACCTTACTAACCACGTGACCTTACTTCTAACTCTACCTTACTAACCACGTGACTTTACTTCTAACTCTACCTTACTAACCAAGTGACCTTACTTCTAACTCTACCTAACTAACCACGTGACCTTACTTCAAACTCTACCTTACTAACCACGTGACCTTACTTCTAACTCTACCTTACTAACCACGTGACCTTACTTCTAAATCTACCTTACTAACCACGTGACCTTACTTCTAACTCTACCTTACTAACCACGTGACCTTACTTCTACTCTACCTTACTAACCACGTGACTTTACTTCTAACTCTACCTTACTAACCACGTGACCCTACTTCTAACTCTACCTTACTAACCACGTGACCTTACTTCTAACTCTACCTTACTAACCACGTGACCTTACATCTAACTCTACCTTACTAACCACGTGACCTTACTTCTAACTCTACCTTACTAACCACGTGACTTTACTTCTAACTCTACCTTACTAACCACGTGACCTTACTTCTAACTCTACCTTACTAACCACGTGACCTTACTTCTAACTCTACCTTACTAACCACGTGACCTTACTTCTAACTCTACCTTACTAACCACGTGACCTTACTTCTAACTCTACCTCACTAACCACGTGACTTTACTTCTAACTCTACCTTACTAACCACGTGACCTTACTTCTAACTCTACCTTACTAACCACGTGACCTTACTTCTAACTCTACCTTACTAACCACGTGACCTTACTTCTAACTCTACCTTACTAACCACGTGACCTTTCTTCTAACTCTACCTTACTAACCACGTGACCTTACTTCTAACTCTACCTTACTAACCACGTGACCTTACTTCTAACTCTACCTTACTAACCACGTGACTTTACTTCTAACTCTATCTTGCTAACCACGTGACCTTACTTCTAACTCTACCTTACTAACCACGTGACTTTACTTCTAACTCTACCTTACTAACCAAGTGACCTTACTTCTAACTCTACCTTACTAACCACGTGACCTTACTTCTACTCTACCTTACTAACCACGTGACCTTACTTCTAACTCTCACTTACTAACCACGTGACCTTACTTCTAACTCTACCTTACTAACCACGTGACCTTACTTCTACTCTACCTCACTAACCACGTGACTTTACTTCTAACTCTACCTTACTAACCACGTGACCTTATTTCTAACTCGACCTTACTAACCACGTGACCTTACTTCTAACTCTACCTTACTAACCACGTGACCTTATTTCTAACTCGACCTTACTAACCATGTGACCTTATTTCTAACTCTACCTTACTAACCATGTGACCTTACTTCTAACTCTACCTTACTAACCACGTGACCTTATTTCTAACTCGACCTTACTAACCATGTGACCTTATTTCTAACTCTACCTTACTAACCATGTGACCTTACTTCTAACTCTACCTTACTAACCACGTGACCTTACTTCTAACTCTACCTTATTAACCACGTGACTTTACTTCTAACTCTACCTTACTAACCACGTGACCTTACTTCTAACTCTACCTTACTAACCACGTGACCTTACTTCTAACTCTACCTTACTAACCACGTGACCTTACATCTAACTCTACCATACTAAACACGTGACTTTACTTCTAACTCTACCTTACTAACCACGTGACTTTACTTCTAACTCTACCTTACTAACCACGTGACTTTACTTCTAACTCTACCTTACTAACCACGTGACCTTACTTCTAACTCTACCTTACTAACCACGTGACTTTACTTCTAACTCTACCTTACTAACCACGTGACCTTACTTCTAACTCTACCTTACTAACCACGTGACCTTACTTCTAACTCGACCTTACTAACCATGTGACCTTACTTCTAACTCTACCTTACTAACCATGTGACCTTACTTCTAACTCTACCTTACTAACCACGTGACCTTACTTCTAACTCTACCTTACTAACCACGTGACTTTACTTCTAACTCTACCTTACTAACCACGTGACCTTACTTCTAACTCTACCTTACTAACCACGTGACCTTACTTCTAACTCTACCTTACTAACCACGTGACCTTACATCTAACTCTACCATACTAACCACGTGACTTACTTCTAACTCTACCTTACTAACCACGTGACTTTACTTCTAACTCTACCTTACTAACCACGTGACTTTACTTCTAACTCTACCTTACTAACCACGTGACCTTACTTCTAACTCTACCTTACTAACCAGGCCACGTGACTTTACTTCTAACTCTACCTTACTAACCACGTGACCTTACTTCTAACTCTACCTTACTAACCACGTGACCTTATTTCTAACTCTACCTTACTAACCATGTGACCTTACTTCTAACTCTACCTTACTAACCACGTGACCTTACTTCTAACTCTACCTCACTAACCACGTGACTTTACTTCTAACTCTACCTTACTAACCACGTGACCTTACTTCTAACTCTACCTTACTAACCACGTGACCTTACTTCTAACTCTACCTTACTAACCACGTGACCTTACTTCTAACTCTACCTTACTAACCACGTGACCTTACTTCTAACTCTACCTTACTAACCACGTGACCTTACTTCTAACTCTACCTTACTAACCACGTGACTTTACTTCTAACTCTACCTTACTAACCACGTGACCTTACTTCTAACTCTACCTTACTAACCACGTGACCTTACTTCTAACTCTACCTTACTAACCACGTGACCTTACTTCTAACTCTACCTTACTAACCACGTGACCTTACTTCTAACTCTACCTTACTAACCACGTGACCTTACTTCTAACTCTACCTTACTAACCACGTGACCTTACTTCTAACTCTACCTTACTAACCACGTGACCTTACTTCTAACTCTACCTTACTAACCACGTGACCTTACTTCTAACTCTACCTTACTAACCACGTGACTTTACTTCTAACTCTACCTTACTAACCAGCACGTGACCTTACTTCTAACTCTACCTTACTAACCACGTGACCTTACTTCTAACTCTACCTTACTAACCACGTGACCTTACTTCTAACTCTACCTTACTAACCACGTGACCTTACTTCTAACTCTACCTTACTAACCAGCACGTGACCTTACTTCTAACTCTACCTTACTAACCACGTGACCTTACTTCTAACTCTACCTTACTAACCACGTGACCTTACTTCTAACTCTACCTTACTAACCACGTGACCTTACTTCTAACTCTACCTTACTAACCATGTGACCTTACTTCTAACTCTACCTTACTAACCACGTGACCTTACTTCTAACTCTACCTTACTAACCACGTGACTTTACTTCTAACTCTACCTTACTAACCAGGCCACGTGACTTTACTTCTAACTCTACCTTACTAACCACGTGACCTTACTTCTAACTCTACCTTGCTAACCACGTGACCTTACTTCTAACTCTACCTTACTAACCACGTGACCTTACTTCTAACTCTACCTTACTAACCATGTGACTTTATTTCTAACTCTACCTCACTAACCACGTGACCTTACTTCTAACTCTACCTTATTAACCACGTGACCTTACTTCTAACTCTACCTTACTAACCACGTGACCTTACTTCTAACTCTACCTTACTAACCACGTGACCTTATTTCTAACTCTACCTTACTAACCACGTGACCTTACTTCTAACTCTACCTTACTAACCACGTGACCTTACTTCTAACTCTACCTTATTAAACACGTGACCTTACTTCTAACTCTACCTTACTAACCACGTGACCTTACTTCTAACTCTCACTTACTAACCACGTGACCTTACTTCTAACTCTACCTTATTAACCAGGCCACGTGACTTTACTTCTAACTCTACCTTACTAACCAGGCCACGTGACCTTACTTCTAACTCTACCTTACTAACCACGTGACCTTACTTCTAACTCTACCTTATTAACCACGTGACCTTACTTCTAACTCTACCTTACTAACCACGTGACTTTACTTCTAACTCTACCTTACTAACCACGTGACCTTACTTCTAACTCTCACTTACTAACCACGTGACCTTACTTCTAACTCTACCTTACTAACCACGTGACCTTACCTCTAACTCTACCTTACTAACCACGTGACCTTACTTCTAACTCTACCCTACTAACCACGTGACTTTACTTCTAACTCTACCTTACTAACCACGTGACCTTACTTCTAACTCTACCTTACTAACCACGTGACTTTACTTCTAACTCTACCTTACTAACCACGTGACTTTACTTCTAACTCTACCTTACTAACCACGTGACTTTACTTCTAACTCTACCTTACTAACCACGTGACCTTACTTCTAACTCTACCTTACTAACCACGTGACTTTACTTCTAACTCTACCTTACTAACCACGTGACCTTACTTCTAACTCTACCTTACTAACCACGTGACCTTACTTCTAACTCTACCTTACTAACCACGTGACCTTACTTCTAACTCTACCTTACTAACCACGTGACCTTACTTCTAACTCTACCTTACTAACTACGTGACCTTACTTCTAACTCTAGGTCTTACTAACCACGTGACCTTACTTCTAACTCTAGGTCTTACTAACCACGTGACCTTACTTCTAACTCTACCTTACTAACCACGTGACCTTACTTCAATTCTAACTCTACCTTACTAACCACGTGACCTTACTTCTTACTCTACCTTACTAACCACGTGACTTTACTTCTAACTCTACCTTACTAACCACGTGACCTTACTTCTAACTCTACCTTACTAACCACGTGACCTTACTTCTAACTCTACCTTACTAACCACGTGACCTTACTTCTAACTCTACCTTACTAACCACGTGACCTTACTTCTAACTCTACCTAACTAACCAAGTGACCTTACTTCTAACTCTACCTTACTAACCACGTGACCTTACTTCTAACTCTACCTTACTAACCACGTGACCTTACTTCTAACTCTACCTTACTAACCACGTGACTTTACTTCTAACTCTACCTTACTAACCACGTGACCTTACTTCTAACTCTACCTTATTAACCACGTAACCTTACTTCTAACTCTACCTTACTAACCACGTGACCTTACTTCTAACTCTACCTTATTAACCACGTGACCTTACTTCTAACTCTACCTTATTAACCACGTAACCTTACTTCTAACTCTACCTTACTAACCACGTGACCTTACTTCTAACTCTACCTTATTAACCACGTAACCTTACTTCTAACTCTACCTTATTAACCACGTAACCTTACTTTTAACTCTACCTTACTAACCACGTGACCTTACTTCTAACTCTACCTTATTAACCACGTAACCTTACTTCTAACTCTACCTTACTAACCACGTGACCTTACTTCTAACTCTACCTTACTAACCACGTGACTTTACTTCTAACTCTACCTTACTAACCACGTGACCTTACTTCTAACTCTACCTTACTAACCACGTAACCTTACTTCTAACTCTACCTTACTAACCACGTGACCTTACTTCTAACTCTACCTTACTAACCACGTGACCTTACTTCTAACTCTACCTTACTAACCACGTAACCTTACTTCTAACTCTACCTTACTAACCACGTGACCTTACTTCTAACTCTACCTTACTAACCACGTGACCTTACTTCTAACTCTACCTTATTAACCACGTAACCTTACTTCTAACTCTACCTTACTAACCACGTGACCTTACTTCTAACTCTACCTTACTAACCACGTGACCTTACTTCTAACTCTACCTTACTAACCACGTGACCTTACTTCTAACTCTACCTTACTGACCACGTGACCTTACTTCTAACTCTACCTTACTAACCACGTGACCTTACTTCTAACTCTACCTTATTAACCACGTGACCTTACTTCTAACTCTACCTTACTAACCACGTGACCTTACTTCTAACTCTACCTTACTAACCACGTGACCTTACTTCTAACTCTACCTTACTAACCACGTGACCTTACTTCTAACTCTACCTTACTAACCACGTGACCTTACTTCTAACTCTACCTTACTAACCACGTGACCTTACTTCTAACTCTACCTTACTAACCACGTGACCTTACTTCTAACTCTACCTTACTAACCACGTGACCTTACTTCTAACTCTACCTTACTAACCACGTGACCTTACTTCTAACTCTACCTTACTAACCACGTGACCTTACTTCTAACTATACCTTACTAACCACGTGACCTTACTTCTAACTCTACCTTACTAACCACGTGACCTTACTTCTAACTCTCACTTACTAACCACGTGACCTTACTTCTAACTCTACCTTATTAACCACGTGACCTTACTTCTAACTCTACCTTACTAACCACGTGACTTTACTTCTAACTCTACCTTACTAACCACGTGACCTTACTTCTAACTCTACCTTACTAACCACGTGACCTTACTTCTAACTTTACCAATTTCATCATCTCGCTGAGCTGGCCTAACTACTATTGTCTATAATTATTATGTAAAATCACACTTTCTAACCATATTGAATAGCAACTCATCCATATTGAACAGTTAATACTGATTATGAGAAAGTTGTACACGCTATTAGTGTCATGGTCACGTGACCTCGCAATGAGTTACGGACTGGTACCATGCCTATACTCCTTTATAATACACCTCATACTGGGCTCATCACAAGCAATTAGTCAGTCCTCTAGAACATCCGCACAAACAACTTATAATATCTCTCAACTAACTTACACTCAACTCTTAAAGTACATTCACTTCTACACTGTACCGGACACTGGACAGGATTATTTTGAAACTTACCTACTACTGTACTAGTACTCAAACAATACATTCACTATACCAAATTGCTCTTACCAATACCAGGGTTGGAGGGGTACCCGGTACAATACATTCACTATACCAACTTGCTCTTACCAATACCAGGGTTGGAGGGGTACAATACATTTACTATGAGACAAGATAAGTTTTATTTAGTTGTGTATTTTTCTTGAGTCTAATTTCATGAAAACAATTTGTGCGTTGTTATATTAAAATGTAAACTCAGTCAGGATTATCGGGAAAGGATATAACCCTGGTAAATCGGTATTTTGATTGACACTAAATAAACTGAATAATATTCACCACCTCCGTAGTCCGTACTAATAATAGCCTTAACAGGATTAAAATATACTAGTGAACAGAATAATATTCCTCTCCTTAACTAATAAAACATAAAACAATTAATACACTAACATGATCAAGAGTAGCAGCTCTCAGCTCATCCTCCTCCTTGCTCTGCGAAGTCCGGAGTCTGCCGTACACTGCCGAATCAGCACCCTTCGTGTACATTACCATCTTCATGGTACGAGGATGAATCACAATAATACTCTGACACTTTCGGACCGAGTCAAAAGGAAGGGAGCACAGTACCTGGCGTGGTTTAGGTGGTTAACTGTTGGGATTGTGAGTTAAAAGGAAGGGAGCACAGTACCTGGCGTGGTTTAGGTGGTTAACTGTTGGGATTGTGAGTTAAAAGGAAGGGAGCACAGTACCTGGTGTGGTTTAGGTGGTTAACTGTTGGGATTATGAGTTAAAAGGAAGGGAGCACAGTACCTGGTGTGGTTTAGGTGGTTAACTGTTGGGATTATGAGTTAAAAGGAAGGGAGCACAGTACCTGGCGTGGTTTAGGTGGTTAACTGTTGGGATTATGAGTTAAAAGGAAGGGAGCACAGTACCTGGTGTGGTTTAGGTGGTTAACTGTTGGGATTATGAGTTAAAAGGAAGGGAGCACAGTACCTGGTGTGGTTTAGGTGGTTAACTGTTGGGATTATGAGTTAAAAGGAAGGGAGCACAGTACCTGGTGTGGTTTAGGTGGTTAACTGTTGGGATTGTGAGTTAAAAGGAAGGGAGCACAGTACCTGGTGTGGTTTAGGTGGTTAACTGTTGGGATTATGAGTTAAAAGGAAGGGAGCACAGTACCTGGTGTGGTTTAGGTGGTTAACTGTTGGGATTGTGAGTTAAAAGGAAGGGAGCACAGTACCTGGCGTGGTTTAGGTGGTTAACTGTTGGGATTATGAGTTAAAAGGAAGGGAGCACAGTACCTGGTGTGGTTTAGGTGGTTAACTGTTGGGATTATGAGTTAAAAGGAAGGGAGCACAGTACCTGGCGTGGTTTAGGTGGTTAACTGTTGGGATTATGAGTTAAAAGGAAGGGAGCACAGTACCTGGTGTGGTTTAGGTGGTTAACTGTTGGGATTATGAGTTAAAAGGAAGGGAGCACAGTACCTGGTGTGGTTTAGGTGGTTAACTGTTGGGATTATGAGTTAAAAGGAAGGGAGCACAGTACCTGGTGTGGTTTAGGTGGTTAACTGTTGGGATTGTGAGTTAAAAGGAAGGGAGCACAGTACCTGGTGTGGTTTAGGTGGTTAACTGTTGGGATTAGGAGTGAGCGAGAGTGGGTGTGGAGTGGGTGTGGAGTGGGTGTGGAGTGGGTGTGGAGTGGGTGTAGAGTGGGTGTGGAGTGGGTGTGGAGTGGGTGTGGAGTGGGTGTGGAGTGGGTGTGGAGTGGGTGTGGAGTGGGTGTGGAGTGGGTGTGGAGTGGGTGTGGAGTGGGTGTGGAGTGGGTGTGGAGTGGGTGTGGAGTGGGTGTGGAGTGGGTGTGGAGTGGGTGTGGAGTGGGTGTGGAGTGGGTGTGGAGTGGGTGTGGAGTGGGTGTGGAGTGGGTGTGGAGTGGGTGTGGAGTGAGCGAGAGTGGGTGTGGAGTGGGTGTGGAGTGGGTGTGGAGTGGGTGTGGAGTGGGTGTGGAGTGGGTGTGGAGTGGGTGTGGAGTGGGTGTGGAGTGGGTGTGGAGTGGGTGTCTGTGTTTTACTTCTAACTCTCACTCACTAACCACGTGAAGCGGTGGTTATGATGTTGCAAGTGAGAATTACGTTTGGATGATGATCAAATGTCAAATGTCTGAGAATTTGACTTTTGTAATGGTATTATTGGTTTTGCTTACGTTAGTGAACATTTAATTGTGATCTGAAATGATCGCATATTGTACAATTAGGGATGATCGTTCAAATATTATGTAATATTTGAACGATCCCTAAACAAAGTTTTTCCATTTTGATGTACAATCTATATTTCAAATAAAATGTTTAAAAAATAGCAGCAGCTGTTCTTACCTTGTATCTCATGATAACTTTCTGTTGTCTGACCACACAGCTCTCTGGAGTTCTCCTCAGAAGCACAAACCCGTACTCTCGCGCGGCGTTCACTAGTGACAACTCATCTGGAGACTCAGCTTCATACACAATACCGTTAAAGTCACGTGGGAGGTACTGGGAGAAACTTGTGCCACGTCGACCCTCGGATGTCACCATGACAGTGTTGCAGATGGTCATGGCGATCACCACACTGTTGACATCTTCGTAGCCAGTTTTAGCTTCAAGTGCTTCTGCCAGAGCAGGATCAACAGGAGGTCTCTCGCCCCCATTGTCATCCATCTTCAAGTTATCTGAATTATTACCCGTCTTAGAGCTGCCAAACACTCTTCGACAAGCTGACATACATTTGAAAATCATCTTGTTTTCAGTCAAAGTTCCTGTTTTATCGGAGAAAACATACTGAACCTGCCCCAAATCCTCTCCAATACTCATTGAGCGGCAGTTTATTGCCCTCTCACCAAAAAGATCGAGATCTTTCTGCAAGAGCCACATTTGCAGCAACTTGGTAATCTCGAGGAGGATATACAGAGACATTGGGATTAGCTGATTGAAAATAATGACAAACGTGAAGAAGGACAAGAAAGCAAGGTATGCTATCTGCTGAGTTTGGGGTATCAAATAGGGTGCTACTTTGTACTCAGTCACAAAGTTATCTGTCATATTGATAACCCGGGTCATGTTATGGACCCTTGGATCTGAATAGGACCGCAGCCACAGCCACTGTCCAAACGCTGATATGAAACATATCGAGATAAGGATTAAACACATGATCAAGATAGTGCCGTTCATCGTCCTTTCAATGTTGCTTATCTTGGTGCGACCCCCTTTATTGTTCTGCATGGCTTTTGTGTCATGACCAGCATACACTACCAGACCAACAACATAATCAGTGTTCTCAGCTCTGAACCTCTGAGGATAAAATTGTCTAAATTAAGAGTTCTATTTTCTTGTTCATGATGAAGATACCCGTTGAGTTCAGACAAATCATCGTTTGGCATATCAACACTTATATCTAATTCGAGATTTCGCAAACCGGTGGATTCCATGTTAGGAATACTAGCACAAGTCCTTTGTTTGAGATTGGTCTCACCATCCAGTGTGGAAGTGTCTGCATAAGCAAAACCAAATTCATCAGATGTGTCGATAATGAGAATGTCAGTGGGAGCCTCTTCCTTACACACCACCTTGATGACATCTCCAACTTGTAATTCTTTCCACCTTTTCCGATAGTACTGCCCAGTTTTCTTATCATAGCACTGAGAGTCTCTACTGTTGATGCGATCATCTTGCTTGGCTCGTCGAATGTCCTCATACAAGTCCTTGATAGCATCACTTAACAGTACTATACAAATAGGCATTATAGAAAAATATTTTCCGACTGCATTAAGCTGAGGGACCCAGTTCAATGCCAACATGATTAAAAAGAACCAATTGGCCACTCTGTGAAACTGTTTGTATAAATTGAGAGGAACGAAATTCCACCATCTGTAGTTTGTTGTGCAGATACCGTTCTTTCTGAAGTCTGTATGTCCAAAAGCTTTTACATGTCTAGTTTTTTTGTTTTCCATTGATCTGAGATTTTGATTCATTAGTTGTTGCAATACAACAATCATACAGTAATCATACAATAATCATCTAGGAGACACTCTGAAAGACCTTCATTGGCTGCCTATTAGTTACAGAATTTAATACAAGTTATTGCTTCTTGTCTATAAATGTCTTAATGGTATGGCCTATGGGACCAGATTATTTAAGTAATATGTTTAAATATGCCAATTATAATCATCTTATCTATTTGACTGAACCTAGAGTTTATACACAGTATGGAGAAAGATCGTTTCAGAAAGTTGGCCCTAAATTATGGAATGAGCTGCCTCTTGAAATTAAGAATTGCATGTCACTGGAATCTTTTAAAGTGTATCTGAAAACGTTTCTTTTTAAACGTGCTTATGATATTAATTAATTTATTATTTTTTCAATGTTTTTACTGTTAAGTGCATACCCTTAACCTTGTAATTTAGTGTATCAAGTCTTTACAGCTTTCTATGGTTTGGAACCTAAATGTGGATTGCTTTTCAGGTTTTCTTGTATCCTGACTTGTTTTCGTGGCACACCTGTGCATTTTAAGTTGTTGTGCCACTATAATCTATAAGTTTAAATTATTATTACTATATCGGGTCTCAATAAGAGGTCTCGACTGCCTAGGCATCAAACCTTGGCAATCGGTAATTTTCCTCTGGCCCGGAGTCAGCTGACCCTAGGGACCAGAGGATAAAGGCGTAGAGACTGTGTGTATCTAAAAAAGTGGTTGTTTTTAAAAGAGACAGGGCTTCCAACGCAAGGGAAGAAAAACGGGAGAAAGAATCACTTATTATTATTATTATTAATAATTGAGTAAAGTATTAACCAGATGGCCTGAAATTCCTTATGATAAACCAACTGGTGAAAATGTAACAAGAATAAATTGAATATTTAAAAGATGGTGAATAACACTACAACAATAATTGTTGCCCATCCCCAAATATCTATGACAAACAAATAATCTATGACAAACAAATAATGAAGACACACAGAATGATAAGCTAATGATCATGAAACTAAATACAGTAAAACCATTAAGGAATCAGAAAACCCATGACAACAACAAAAAAATATACTAATTACCAGGCTGGTGCACACCAATGACAAGCACCATATTATCATTGGCACATCAGAACCCATCTATCAATGGATGCCTCGGATCTAGAAAACATGACCTGATGTATAACGGCTTATACTTATAATAGTATATTCCAGGCGTTAAAGCTTAGTGTTATCAATCGCATTGCATGTTTAACTACCACGCCTCTACTAATTGCAAATTGCCTTTTAAATAAAATTGCTGTAAATAAACTCATAGAAGCAGTCCACCTTCTATTTTTACAACTCCTCATTGGTAACCATGGGATTGCATCAGGTAGAACTTAGATAATACAGCAATTTAACTTCACTCAAGTATCGCCACTCACTTGATCTACATTTACAAATGGGATTTGCAAGTAATGGAGTTACTTCACTAGTTCACTAGTTCACTTCTAGTTAACTAATTCGTGGTTTAAGCTCTTATTTTATTTATGATTGAAGGAATGTAAAATAAAACTTATCGTTTCATTGAAAACTTATCGTTTCATTGACTAAAACTATACCACATGTAACTATTAGGGATTACTTTGCCCCACTTGGGTACAAATAACAGTTCTTATAACTGTTTGATACAACAGCCATGATACCAGTGGCATAACGTTACCTGTTGGCCATTTTTCACACGAAAGCTGTTGGAAGATCCAAAGAGTGATGAATACATTATATAACATTTGCTTATGGTAATGCAGATAGTATCTACACCATTGATTCGAGCTCAGTAAATACGTTTAAACATGTGACAACACCATAAATGGAAAAGCTTCACTCCTTTGTCTTTTCTACGCAATCCAACCAAGTTTGTTCCTAAATAAAAGCATGCCACTTGTGCCAGTGGCCCCGCCGACCCCGCTGTGTAGGGGGGGGGGGGGGCGTCATCTTAGGGGGCGCCCTATCGCCCGGGGTTTTAACTTTTGCTTTATTAATCGTCGTTTGAATGTGGGACAATTTTGAAAAACAGGCGTATCCTCTTAAATTATCTAATTTGTCCAATTTTAGGGAGGGGCGCCAAAAGGGGAGGGGCCAAAAGGGGGGCACTTTTTCAGCGGGAGACGCCAACAGGCAACGTTATGCCACTGGCTTGTGCCATCAATTCTATGTTCCAGTGGTGCACCACGAATGCGCATTCGAGAGTTCTAACGGGTCGTTTACAAATTGTATTGCTATAATGTATGCTATGTCCTGGGGACACAAATTGAAGAATGCGGAATTACAGGCTGAGCCATGCTGCCTCATAGTTATATATAGCCTGTCGCCACGTATCAAATAATGCTTCACATCACAAAATCATGATAGCAGAGCTACGAACTGTAAAATGAAATATGAAAGGGTTGACAAGCACCTTACAGATTTATTGAGTTAGTTCTAGGTTAAGCAACACGACAGTTTTCTTTGAATAACATTTCTATAAATCTTTAAGTATTAGCTGTACTGGTGAACCAAATTTGTTTTGACACCGACAGTGATTTTTGGTTTTGATTTGTCAACGCTGAACGTTGATGATGATGATTAATCACTTTACACTCAATAACTTTAGGTAGCAAATTCATCCGAATCTGAATTTAAAATTTTCAATTAAACTCTTAACGGGTGATACTCGTAAAATATCTGTTCCATATATTAGGACCGTCGACGAGTCCAACTCGGCGCGCGTCCTGGTAGGTTGTAAACTTACAGTTAAACTCATATCATTCACCTAGCCATGACACACGAGTCTCCTTGTACTGCGTGACGCGCTTGTTTCAAAAGCGGTCGCGCGATACTCTAGTGCAAGCGAGAGGGCTCTGGTTAGAGCAACTCATATCACACTATTACGTATTTGGTAGTATAATATTGAGTATGAATTAAAATATAATTTATACACTTTTTATTTGCCTGCATGTGCTTTTTATGCATTTAATTATAAATTACCCGCGCGTTTCGATGACATGGTTAAAATAGCGCGCACTATATTCACATAGCCATGTGCCTACGCGTACTGCGTGACGCGCTTGTTTCACAAGTAAAATATACTTTTTCTTTTTTGCCGCCTTCGGTAGTCGCGCCACGCGCTACTACAAGCGAGTGGGCTTTGGTTATGGGTCGCGCCACGCGCCACGCGCTACTACAAGCGAGTGGGCTTTGGTTATGGGTTAGAGCAAAGCAATTGCCATGCCCACAGGGGTGTCAAAGTGCAAAAAAATTAAACTGCTGCTAACTGCTAGCTTTTAACTGCTGCTGACTGCTTGTAGGTCTATAACCTTCCAGGACGTTGCTCTATCCAGAGCCCTTGCGCTTGCAGTAGTGCGCGCCCGCCTGACTTGTGAAACAAGCGCGCCCGCAGTGGCGCGAAAGCACATGGTTGGTGAAACCAGGACGCGCGCCGGGCTTTTACTAATACGCTCGCCCAAAAATTTTACATGACTTTAATTTGGTTTTATGGTTTTACAGCCGTACAAAACGGTTTTTACCCTAATCCCAACCATAACCCCGCGCGCCGAAGCTATTATTATATATTATATATCCATAACCCTTACCACAACCCTAACCCGAGCCCTAAACATGCACAATCGAATTCATGTTTTACTATATAGCCTGTCACGTGACCAAAACGGTTTTTTGCCCATAACTCTCCTGGGAAGTGTTTTTACCCTAAGTCATGGGGGTGATTCGGAATTGAATCAGCGTCCAAAAATATACCGATTTAGATCAATTTCATACACAAAGGGCCTTTTCACAAGAATTTTCTTAAAATTTGGGCGAGCGATTTAGTAGAAGCGCGCGCGCCAAGCTAATTGGACTAATATTTGAAAGTGAAACAATGCAATATTTGAAACAAATATTTTACGAGTATCACCCGTTAACTGACTGCTGCTGACTGCCGCTATAAGTGATACAGTTACTGGTAGGTAGTGCGCCATCGACAGTGAGCCGCGCGTGCCGACTGTAGGATGGTTTTTTAGCGCTAATTTCGGCCAGCACAATTTTCTTCAAACAAATAGATATTAAGTATCCTTCCCGACCTCCGATTGCAACAAAAATTGATAAGCTTACTCATAGACTTACAAGGAAAGTGTCCGAAAAGTTTAAAGCATATCCAACCATCAGACATTATGTTGCAGCTAAAAGCAGCGTATTTTGCCCAATTTGTATCACTATATCAACTCCGATATCCACCAAATTTTTCGGACAGTTGTCAAAGCCCTATTGGAAGGTCGTCGCCAATTTTCAGAAGGATCTCATGCAAGGAACTAAAGATATATCCAAATAATACGACAAAAATCAACGAATTTGGTCAAATTTGGTCAAATTACGCGACTTTTACAGCTAATTTTGCTCCAAAAGCCGCGCACCATCAAATATGGCACCTAGGCAAAACTCACTGATCTTTCCAAAAATAGGTAGTGCGCCATCGACAGTGAGCCGCGCGTGCAGACTGTAGGATGGTTTTTTAGCGCTAATTTCGGCCAGCACAATTTTCTTCAAACAAATAGATATTGAGTATCCTTCCCGACCTCTAATTGCAACAAAAATTGGTAAGCTTAATCATAGACTTACAAGGAAAGTGTCCGAAAAATTTAAAGCATATCCATGATCCAACCATCAGACATTATGTTGCAGCTAAAAGCAGCGTATTTTGCCCCATTTTGATCACTATATCAACTCCGATATCCACCAAATTTTTCGGACAGTTGTAAAAGCCCTATTGGAAGGTCGTCGCCTATTTCCAGAATGATCTCATTTAAGGAACTGGAGATAAATCCGAATAATACGACAAAAATGGTCAAATTTGGACGAATTTGGTCAAATTACGCGACTTTTACAGCTACTTTTGCTCCAAAAGCCGCGCACCATCAAATATGGCACCTAGGTGAAACTCACTGATCTTTCCAAAAAGGTATGACAAATTTGGTATTGTGAAAATTCTCACAGTCTCTAGAAAACAGTGGTACAAAAATGAAAAAATTTTAAAATCCGAGCAAGTTTATTTTTATCGTGCACCCCCTACCAAAAAGGTATGACAAATTTGGTATTGTGAAATTTCTCAAAGTCTCTAGAAAACAATGGTACAAAAATTTTTAAAAACCGAGCAAGTTTATTTTTATGGAGCACCCCCTATTACTGGGCGGCGCTCAGCCTGTCATTCTGCATTCCGCTGCAACGGCCAGTATGAAGTAGTGCATTCAGCATTGCACTTCGTGCTTCAAATCTGAATTTATACGAAGATTTGCAAAGGAATCTTGAGTGGAATCTTCAATAAAAATTAAATAGTTTATTTAAAAATTACGACGCACGACACACGATGAAATTAGTTTTTGTGATACTTTTAAAAGGTTGAACTTGAACAAAAAATACAATAATTTTCATGTTCATTAAGTTTAAACCATAAAATTAAAGAGCTTATATTAATCTTAGTGATACTGATATCTACATTATAGCAGAAAGTACAAATTCTATTAACATTCTCAGCTAATCACCAAACTCTCAAAGTCGTTTTTTTCTGCAGTTTACAGTTGCAGGTACTACTATTCTAAAGTTACGAAAACCCCTGCACCATGCACAGTGCCCATTTTAATTTTACAAATTTCATTAATTGTAGATACAGGCCAACGTTTTATTCAGGGTTTTTCAAAGATGTTTCATCGTTCAAATCGTGGTGATTTTACACTGGCATCAAAATTTCATAAATTCATTCAAATCATTATAAATAAAGTTTCACCTATAAGTATAATTTAAATAATAACAAATAACATCATATCTGTACATCATCAAAAATCATCTTTAAACAACAAATAAATACCAATTAACGGTCTTCGTACTACAATTCAAGTATTTTTGGCACGATTTTATTTCTTAAACCAAACGCAGCTATTTGCAAACTTTATCCTTTGGCTACAATTTCGTTACCTCTCGGTGAATCCATTTGATTTCTCTCTTTATCTCGTTTGGAGTTGTTTCTGCGACTTCCAAACGGTGATTTGACGACTAATCCTTTCATTATATCTGAAAAGATTTTCACGATTAGATGAGAGGTTCAATTCTTACAAACACATCTCAGAGAATATCATAACCATAAGATCTAAACATTGACATTCGCTTAAACCAGTAAGTATAAAACAAGATAAGAGTTAGATATGAAATCAGTGCAACGTTCGTTACAAGTGCCACTCGTAAGCTGTGAACATGAACACTACCAATAGTTTTGAGAGGCAAACCGAAAACAGATTGTCAAACGGGCGAAGAGTTTGAAAATTCGTTAAACATTGGTGGTCATTTTTGTAATTTCATAAAGTTCAATTCAAAGCGGACACAATTTACATCTGATTTCGGGAGCTATGTTGCCAACACCACTTTAGTTACATCGTAACTGTTATCATTTGTTACACTCTTAGAGATAGTATTCCTAATAAGGTCCTTAGGGACAATTCTGGACCAGTAAGCTGAAATGTTGATTAACGTTTCAACAATTAATTTCTTGAGAAGCTTCCTAGATTCGGACATAATCCTTGATGTTTTAACCTCGTATCATGAACATCTTAAAAGGTGTCAGAATGTTGCTGAGTAACGGCTCAAAATTTGTTAATTGTATTTATAGCAATATCAATTTGCAACCTTAGACTTGAGTTTTCATTATAAGTTGTAAAACTCACTAGGATTAAGCGAACTTCTGAGAAGCTGATCTGATCGTTTAGGTGCCTGGGTGGGTCTGCTAGCTTCATAATACTTGTTCAAATAAGTAATGAGATGATCTGCAGCATCTTCAAAGTTACATTCCTTTAGGACCACGTCAAATACCCGTTTGTCCAGGTCGCACAGTTTCTGAGCTGTGTACACCTGCGCGGCTGAACTTCGCTTCTGATCCGCACCTCTACTTTTTATTAGGTTCTGTAAAATCTGAGACAAAGTACAAGATCATATCAATTGGGGGACATATTTTGTCACAATTAAAACATCTCGCCAATTTAGTATTGTGTGGAATTTAAAGCCGGGCTTCCGCTAAGAACATATACTATCTGAGATAGATCGGCCTAAATGACACCTGAAAACCAACCTTCATATTAGCAATCTTGATATGAACAAGAAGAGGAGCGATAGGACTTCTCTTCAGAGCAGTAGGACTGTTCACCTTCAGGTCGATAAAAAGAGCTTAAAAGATTGGGAGGCTGTGAAAACCTGGTGCATCACGTGATCCATTGCCTCTGTGGGATTATGTTTAAGTGAACTATGGAGCCGATAAGATCATATTTGAAATCAGCTAATGAAAAAGTCTCGGCCCTTTGGGAGAATGGAAAATATAAACATGTAAACTATCATTCACTAAAAACTAAAATTATTAACATTAGTAACAATTTGAAATACTAACCGGTTGTCCCCACGAGCGTCTTGTTAGCTAGAGCGTTATGAAAGGGTTTCAACCACTTCTCCTCAATATGTACCACCTCTAGTTTATCACCAAAAGCTCGCTTCAGAGCGTGGAACAGAGCTTTGTGCATGAGATCTGTCACATCAAAGTTACGGAGAGAAGGTCCGCAGAGAACGATGGGTCTGATCAGGGGGATTGCTTCGTAAGGTCCTTGGGCCTGGAAAGAAAAGTGCTTAGTAGAGACTAGGGTCAGATGTCATAATGAAGGCAACATTCAATTATTTGGGATTACGGTAATAAATTAGTGGTTGAGACTACGAGCAAGGGTATTTGTAAAAACATCGCACATTACTGACGACCAATTAAAATAGTCAAACCTTCAAATCTTTTTCTGATATCCTCTGTTGAGCAATGTGGGAGATGTTTTCAGTGCTACCGTCAAGTTTGTCTTGCACTTCCTGACTCGGCGTTGGCTTTTTCGGGTCTTTGTCAAAGGAATGGGCCTTTTTACTGCGGGGGAATTAGGGTTAACATTTTAGTCTGAGACTTTGAGACTAGCAGCTGCTGCATTTGGAGGATATTTGATATGAGAACGAGTTGGACTTAGACTAAAAAGGGAACCTTTTCAGTTTTCATTCATATTGAAGTTAAAATGATTTATATTTTCCAGTGGTGAAAAATAACGAATACCTTACTCGGGATTATTATGACCGGGATAAAGTGGTGGGTTTAGGGTAATTTCGCCATATTTTTCCCGAACCACATTTTCACCGGTCGTTAATAAACCCGCCTACTCAGCTTTTAGGGTTCCCAAGGGGTATGGGTGCTCATATTTTAATCGTTGTCTTATATTCACTAAAGAAGACTATTGGGACACTTGTAGGTTTTTCGACTTCATTTGGCTAAAATTGCAAAAAATTCACCTTTTTGCCCAATTCTTGTCATATATCCTTATTGTCAAATTTGATTTAAATAGGCCAATTTTTAATTTCTTAGGTATTGACTATCTCTACATAATGAAATAGGACTCAAAGTAAAAGTAACAGTTAAATTAAAACTTAAATTAATTAAAACTGATGAAACGGATGATCCAGATGAAGATAACGAAGATGATTACAACTTATTGGAAGACTAAACAGCTCTCCCTTTATCTTAACTAGCAGGAACCCGTCTAACCCTAAAATGGTGTCAAGACTCAAGAGACTAAAACAATTATTACCTATTTAAACCACTTGGGGTACCAAATTTTGGGCTCTAAAACTCCTATTTCTTGGCCAATTTTTTATTTTTTCATGCTGATTTGGAGGCCATTAAAGCATTTGACCCAGTCAAAAAGGTTTCAGTTGTATATCTTTATGTCAATAGATCAACATCACATAAAAACTTTCAATACTTGGGTCTGGGAGCAAAATGTTGGAATAATGTTCCAACAGATCTACGAAATCTGCCCGATGTTAAAAGCTTTAGTGATTCGTATAAGAAACAGCTACTATCATCTATAACAACAGACCCTAATTATACCGTCGACAATTCATATGAAAAATTTTACACTGCAATCATAGTCGACGATAACTAAGTAACTTCTAATTCTTTTAAATCTGAGGCATATATAATTTATGTCGAAAAGATATTCCCTTTTTTACCACCTTACCATTCTGATTGATTTTGCACATGACTGACATGTTTTAACTGGAGAAGGGGTTCCCACAGTGGTAGTTTTATAAACCACTTTCAATTTATTGACCTATTATACTTAGTGGTAGTTTTATAGACCACATTTAATTTATTAACTTATCATACTTAGTATTTATTTTTGGTGACTGTATCACCCAGTTTTAACATTTGATAATTGTACAGTTTATTGACGACACATTGACTGAATGTTATTTTATATTCTAATTTATATTCTAGATATTTTATTTATTTTACAACAGACGACAACTTCCTGTTTTTTCTTCTATATTAGTTACTCATATCTCTTGTACAGACTTTTTTACAAGGACATTGACAAATGATACTCACATTAGGCATTCATTATTGCATCTAAATTATTTCACTTGCATTAGGCTTAGAAATTTATTCTCTGGTCAACAGATTTCAAATGTTTAATTAATTTGTAGTATGACAGTAAGGTATATAAGAAGTTATTTAATTTTGCTTGGGCTATTATATTGACTAGGTATTGAGGTTTAATGATGATATGGAATTTGAATTCTATATAAATTTACACTATGTGGTTGGGGCATTTTGCATAGTAAATATGGTTACTACTCATATATATCATATTATTTGATTGGTATTCGATTTCTGATTATTTCTTAGGAATATGATTATTATATCTCAATTTGGCTTTAGGTAGGGTGCCCCGCTAAAAGAACTGGATTCTTCCAGGAAGCATCCCGTGCACAGACCTTGGTCTACATATATATTAAATTATTAACCATTCATTCTGTATGTGCACGAAAATTTATTTCAATCAATATCTTTGACGGTTTTTGCAGAAATTCGCGTTCAAGTTGATGCCGTGGTGTCAGTAAAATGGCACGGATAAATATATGTATATCGTCTCGCTTTATATATAGTAAGATATCGATAGATAACGCTTCAAATGTTAAAAATTATTTTCCATCTAGTTTGATTAACCACGAGTCATTATTTCTGTCTACTTTCAACAATTATTGATAATTCGACTTGTTTCACAAGTTTTAGCAATGCGAAAATTTCTAAACTTGCTTATCTCTAATAAGGAAATTTACATCTTAGACAAAATTTTTGAATCTAAAATTGAAAGGTTGGACACCGGTAAAATGGCGACCGGGAAAATGTGGTGGGTTTTGAGCAATTTCGCCATATTTTTCCCCGAACCATATTTTAACCGGTCGTTAATAAACCTGTCGTAATAATCCCGAGTAAGGTAACTGCAAATTATAGAACTAACAGTGTGTTTGTGTCTTTATTGTTTATTTGCTGATTTAACGTTTCTGATACCAGTTTCTTCAACTTCATGGGTCTGAAATGAAAACAGGTATAATAGATTTAGAACTCATTGGTGATTTCATCAGTTTTCAGAGCAGTATCGCAGTAACTCCTCGCATTAAGATTAAAAGACTTTTTAAAAGAGACGAGACTCACGTAGGTACAAATCCGATTGGAGCGTCGCACTTTACTACACGTCCTATCCACCAATCCTCGTTGAATTGCTGAAGTTTAGGAGTTTCAAAGTCAATGAATCAGATTTTATTATAAAATTGGACAAACTGTGAGTTTTCATGATGGGGAATTGTCAGAGGTCATTCACTTCATGACTGATCTCAATGCTTGCCTTGAACTCAACAATTAAATCCGTATTAAAGAAAAACAGCATCATAATGTAATTAAGTTTTAAAGTTACCGCTTTAATGTGAAGGCAATCCCTGGCTCGGAAAGTTACTGCTTTGCCGTGGATCGGAGAATCGTCGTCATGGAGTCCATTAAACGTTACATTTGATCTGATTGCAAACTCAACTTTCATCGTCTGCGGGGAAAATATATTGATGACGGAAAAAACATGAGGTTTATAATTACACTTTTACAGTCCTAGGACGGTTTGCCAACATATTTAGCCGATGCGAAATGTTCCTCACATTTTACTCTCATTTCGGAGTTGGTGTCAAATGACTCAATTAATTTTCAATTGCGCAGTAATTCTGCTAATATAAAACATCAGTTTCTGCTGCACCTGATCTCAACCTGTGATACTTTTTTTCTCTCTCGAAAACCGAATCATTTAATAATGTTAAATTGCACCAAGATCGCCTTAAAATATGCCTCATTTCACATCAGCGTGAAATACGGCACATACCAAATCTTCAAATGAGGAGTGATGATGGGAGCAATATAGTAAATATAGTTGTCGGTGTTAGTAACGAAAACAATTTCTGGTAGATTTACCATCTGCATCTTATCTTAATCTGATAGTCTAATCACTGAATAGCTCTTTGTAACCATACCGAAAAATATAATTTTGTAACAAAATGGCTTACTTTAACTTTGTGATTACCGATTAAAACAAAATTGTATTGTTGCAATGTTAAAATATCATGCTCGGCCTTACGAGATCTATGCGATCTACATAAAGACTAAACTCTAGCTGATAAGTTTATTAGTTCATGTAATGTAAACATAACTGAAATTAACCACTCTACCCATTTATTGGCCATTACTTAATTAAGATTAAAAGAATTTCAGCCAAAAGCCACCCTTGTTTGTGGCAAATCTAACACTCAACTTACAATTTCAATTGTTGTTTTACTGTGTTAATTAACAATACCAACCATCAACTTCTGATAATAGATTAGTCAAAGATCCGTGAATTTTATCACAAGAACACAACCTCACGTGTGATCGCTGAAGAACCTAGGATGAACACGTGGCTATGAAATCTGTATTTATATCTTACTTCTACGGAGATATAATCTTATTGAAAAGATAGCCCAGTGAGTAGTCCCTAGTTTTAGTCCCAAGAAATTATAGCACTTGATTTTAATGTACGTATATTTATACTTTCATAACCGGCTTTGAAGCTTTGTGTTTTGATTATAAGATTGTGAGTGTATTCATATAACAAAAGTATGTGAAAGCGAAGGAATTACAAACCTCGGCCTGGTTGATTTTATTCCAAGCATCGTTAAGCCCGTACTGCATGGGCGGGGTCATAGTTCCGCTCCACTTCTCCTTTATCTCCTTACAGAGTCTGAGGATACCCTCGTCTGTCCGTGTTCGGGGATCGTATTCGTACATTAACTTCTCCAAAACCTGGGATGATGAAATATTAGATACATTGTTTCAGGAAACAACTATTATAAGGAGCACTGTAGTTTAGAATTCATAATGTTAACACGGTGGAAATTAACTAATGAGTGAAAAATAATCAAAGTTTATGTCGTGTTTTCTGACGACACCCCATTCCGACATCTCATTTTACTTATTGAATGGTTAGTGTTAAATGTTTTCATTAACCAAACCCCCAAGTCCTGTCTAGAAAAAGGCTTCCCTCCTTCCATCCTCACCCGCCTCTTCCACCCTCACCCGCCTCTTCCACCCTCACCCGCCCCTTCCACCCTCACCCGCCTCTTCCACCCTCAGTACTCACCCGCCTCTTCCACCCTCACCCGCCTCTTCCACACAACCCGCCTCTTCCACCCTCACCCGCATCTTCCACCCTCACCCACCTCTTCCACCCTCACCCGCCTCTTCCACCCTCACCCGCCTCTTCCACCCTCACCCGCATCTTCCATCCTCACCCGCCCCTTCCACCCTCACCCGCCTCTTCCACCCTCACCCGCATCTTCCACCCTCACCCGCATCTTCCACCCTCACCCACCTCTTCCACCCTCACCCGCCTCTTCCACCCTCACCCGCCTCTTCCACCCTCACCCGCATCTTCCACCCTCACCCGCCTCTTCCACCCTCACCCGCATCTTCCATCCTCACCCGCATCTTCCACACCACCCGCCTCTTCCACCCTCACCCGCATCTTCCACCCTCACCCGCCTCTTCCACCCTCACCCGCCTCTTCCACCCTCACCCGCATCTTCCATCCTCACCCGCCTCTTCCACCCTCACCCGCATCTTCCATCCTCACCCGCCTCTTCCACCCTCACCCGCCTCTTCCACCCTCACCCGCCTCTTCCACACTCACCCGCCTCTTCCACCCTCACCCGCCTTAATGCTAGCAAGTAGCAAACCTCTGCCTGTACCTCTGGGTCGTCATCATACAAATCTCCCCGCCTCAGTATTGCCTCCTTTGCCTTCTTCCAATGCGAACGAGCGAAGAATCCCGTCATTTTCTGTTACACTTTCACTTTGTTCGTCCAATATCCAGCTTGTCTTCGTTTGTTTGGTTTGGTTTTTTTGTTGTTTTTAGTTGTTTTATTGTTTTCCTTCGTCCCCTATTCTAACTGATCAGATCTCCTAACCACAATCCATCTAGCAAGACGAAAAATATAATGAAACTTGAAAATTCATATCCTAAAACACAAAAAATGGGAGATCACGACGAAGCGAACAATGTTTCGATGAAAAACCTAACACCATCATTGACATTAATATATTATATATTATTAGTACAGTGAGATGACACAAAACTTAAACACTACGAGCTAAAAGGATGAGGTATGCACAAAACAGAATACAATAAAACCAGTCGGCCACCAAGACTCCAAAATAGTTACAAATCATGGAAGAGTAGAGGGTATCCATCGTAAAACTAGTTGCTGCCATTATTCATCCAGCATTACCAAGCCTAATGAGTTGCAGCGTAATTTCCAGATTTTAAGCTGGCTCCACGAGTATAGGCAGAGATTATACTGATTAGGACTTCATTACTCTTCAGTTTCAAGAGCTTCTCAAATAAACAAAGATTGTACCAGCTGCACGGCAAGTTCAGGAGTGTTTCTGGTAAATTTATCGTTTAAGGTCTTGAATTAGAAAAATAAAATCTGCAGAAACCTTGCGATTTGTATACTGCAAGGGAGTCACAAAGTTTGAATTAAAAATGGCCTATTTTTACCATGACCCTTTATTTCTTTTACTTTCATGAGCTTACAGGCCCATACGCCAAATCTGTGCAGCCCAAATGACCTCACAGGCGGAAGTTCAGTAACCATCTAGCACAGTGCTTTCCATACCAAAAATCAATACAACCTTGTAGCTTCTTCTCAGCAAAGTAGTGTGATTCGACCGTACGTGTGCTGTGAACGTAAAACTATCTACACATAACTCTAATATTTCCTGGGAGAAACGAGATAAATACACCGCAAATATAACTGCAAATATTATTTTACTGATCTGCACAAGAACAGAATACTGCAGTAAGCCAATAATTCCTGCATGGCATTGAAAATAAGTGGCTAATAACATAATAAGAAGAAAGAATTACTGCTTTTAGGTAATTACTTCTGCTTGAACCTGATTCTAACAATAACGCAACGTCAGGATATGAGGATATGCATCAGAAGCAATGATCTGGAAGAAGAAAACTGATATCGGTAATAATGCTAGCTGACTAGGGTAAAATTACGAGACATGCTGCCTATATTTAAACCTATTTTACTGATTCATTATAGATAATTGCTAAACTTATGATTTGCAGTAACGATAACCACAATATTTTTAATTATGCGTGGAATCTGTTTTATTTCCAATTTGTTCATGAATTAAAATGCTCCGCCAAAACTTGAATGAAAATTACCAATTAATCCAAGCTGAGCCATCAGAAACTGCAAAGCAAAAAGCCAAAAATAAAATCAGACTCAAAGATGAAGCCACTTTCTCCTGCCAATGTCCTGGAATTTCTTGAACTTTTGGTTTAATATGTGCATAAATTAAAACGGTTACCAGGCGACGGGCGCAAAACGTTTTAAGCAATTTCTTAATCGCCGTAATTCACCTCTGATTTGCGGATTCCCAAGACCCGACTTAAAATAAAAAGGAGATTATTTCTTCCTTGTCCATTATAGTCTACTTGGCTAGAATAATAAGTTGATATGCGATGGTTTACAATGATTTTCAGAGACGTCATCCCAATTAGCATAAAACATTTGTAAAATGTTGCGTGACACTTTCGTCAGCAGAAGTAGTTAAAATATGATCTCAGCAGCAGAAAATATCAAAATAGAATAGATAAAAACGAGATTCATGTGCAGATGGAAGATTCAGCAAACAGACAGCACGATAATCACAGAATTCCAGTTTTCCGATTATTCAAATAAAAGTTATATTTAACTAACATTAAGTGTCAGGAGCTAGATTGACGTGGTGAGTGGTCTGAGTGTCCAACTTAAATTACATTGTGCGCCAGCGGTCAGCCCCGCACGTGACGTCGTTCGGGCGCTTTAACTTAAAATCAGTGACAGAAATCAACCCGCACTAAAAGTTGAATATGTTGAATAACAATGATCTGCGGCTTTTGTATCAGCAGCATTCCATTGAATTAATAAAATTCTGAAGAAAAGCGACGAAAAACGAGTTGAAGTTAAATTGAATCTGAGAGCGCTGCTGGGAGATATGCACCAGCAGATCAGATCACAGACAAAGAAATTATTCTGTCGGTAGCAGATTTATTATTCGTCAGATATGAGGTAACATGAACAATGAAGAAGGAAATGAAGAGTCGAATAGACTGTTTATTGCAATGAAGCTCAGAATGTGATATTAAATTCCTAGAGGTCAAGCGGTGTGATAGGAAATTGAATTCCTAACTAAAATTTAGCTGCAGATATAAAATTTAGCAGATATAATATGTATATACAGTTATATCTACTTCTGACAACCGTCATTTGTTAGAAATGTTCACAATCCGATAGTTCTATCATACCTTACTCGGGATTATTACGACGGGTTTATTAACGACCGGTTAAAATATGGTTCGGGAAAAATATGGCAAAATTGCTCAAAACCCACCACATTTTCCCGGTCGCCATTTTACCGGTGTCCAACCTTTCAATTTTAGATTCAAAAATTTTGTCTCAGATGTAAATTTCCTTATTAGAGATAAGCAGGTTCAGAAATTTTCGCATTGCTAAAACTTGTGAAACAAGTCGAATTATCAATAATTGTTGAAAGTAGACTCTAGCAAATTCGTTGTTTTGAATTAGCATTACATGTTTACGTGTATCAAATAACCATTATGACTCAATTTGTAGAAAATCTTCGAAAGAATGCATCGTTCACATTGTTTAGAATTATGAATAAATGACTGATGAAACTGATTCATGTTATTGACCGTTTTAATTAATTCGAGTTTTAATTTAACTGTTACTTTTACTTTGAGTCCTATTTCATTATGTAGAGATAGTCAATACCTAAGAAATTAAAAATTGGCCTATTTAAATCAACTTTGACAATAAGGATATATGACAAGAATTGGGCAAAAAGGTGAATTTTTTGCAATTTTAGCCAAATGAAGTCGAAAAACCTACAGCAAGTGTCCCAATAGTCTTCTTTAGTGAATATAAGACAACCATTAAAATATGAGCACCCATACCCCTTGGGAACCCTAAAAGCTGAGTCGGCGGGTTTATTAACGACCGGTGAAAATGTGGTTCGGGAAAAATATGGCGAAATTACCCTAAACCCGCCACTTTATCCCGGTCATAATAATCCCGAGTAAGGTATGTTAAACTCAGACCTCTTCAACAAAATAAACGGTCGGTGTACGTCTGGAAAATACAACAGTACTCGTGCTTAGGAAGATAACCGTGGAAAATACATACAGAATTGCAGGTTTTATGGGTCATTAGGAAAAGCACAAGGCACAGAAACCACAAAATGTTAGCGATACTCTGCTGGTCTACCGGATAGTCGATATTATGTCGTTATACTTATGTTCGTATCAGTCAATGCATATCCCTACTACAGTACCATCCTACAGTAATGAGATCCTTTCTTCAACTTTATAGGGAGTACTAACTTTAATCTTTGTCAATAATTCTACTGTTGTGTTATTATCGATATTACTTTATTATGATTATAATACGGTTGATGTCTCTCAGATCCGATCCTTCACAAAGCATAATGTATTCAGTCTGATTATAGGACTACGAAGGAAATGAATCCTATTGGCTATGAAGAAAGAAGTGTCATGTCAAGAAGTGACACTGACAAGAAGTTGTGGGATATAGAGGGGTAAGAATTCGTATACTTGATGAGTGACTGTTATGTAAGCAGCGGATACAACGCCCCCACATATCTCAGATTGTTCCATACGGATCTCAGTTTCCCTTTGAGCCGACATCCTTTGTGTTTCAGAAAAT